TTTTTTCCCAGTCTGTAGGTTCTCTTTTGACTCTTTTGGTGAAGTCTTTTGAAGAGCATAGGTGTTTGATTTTTAGAAGATCCCATTTATCTAATTTATCTGTTGGGTTTTGTGTGTTGATGGTTGGGAGCTACCCTTTTAAGGTTTTACTTTCCATTTACATTCTCTCTATACTATATACACATACACAGAGACACACATGAATTTAAAGATAAAGATAAAATTATAACAAGAATTAGCCAAAAAAGGATACCAAGAGAAGGTTTGGCCAACACTGAACCTCCTAAGGTCAAGCTACATTATAACTTAAGTGTCTGCTTCAAAATGTGGGAATAAGACTGTAGTCAGACATAACAGTCAGGAAAGATGGGAAGAGTATGTACTGAAGCAGCAGCTGAGTAGGGGAGAGAAATACAGAGTCACATTTTCAAAGGAAGAAAATTTTGCCTTGATAGGCAAGTAGGATGGTAAAAGGTCTGTGCAGCAATTCAGCAGAGATCTATGAGAGAAAATATGAGCCAAAACCCCCTACTGTAACAAAAGGTAGGTGGGAAATTGATGTTTAGAGTGATAAAAAATGAGAAAGCGCCCCCCCCCCGCCCCAAAAAAAGCTTTTTCTTTTCATTTTACATGGATCCACAATCAATGCCCATGGAGGCAGCAGTCAAGAAATCAATCAACGCATCGCAATGGGCAAATCTGCTGCAAAAGACCTCTTAAGTGTTAAAAAACAAAGATATCACTTTGAGGACTAAGGTGCTCCTGACCCAAGCCATGGTATTTTCAATCACTTATATACATGCAAAAGCTGGACAATGAATAAGGAAGACCGAAGAAGAATTGATGCCTTTGAATTACGGTGTTGAAGAATACTGAATACACCATGGACTGCCAGAAGAATGAACAAATCTGTCTTGGAAGAAATACAGCCATAATGCTGAAAGCGAAGATGGCGAGACTTCATCTTACGTACTTTGGACACGTTATCAGGAGGGACCAGTCCCTGGAGAAGGACATCATGCCTAGTAAAGCAGAGGGTGAGCGAAAAAGAGGAGGACCCTCAATGAGATAGAATGACACAGTGACTGCAACAATGGGTTCAAACATAGTAACGACTGTGAGGATGGCACAGGACCAAGCAGTGTTTTGTTGTGCTGTACATAGGGTCACTATCAGTTAGAACTGACTCAATGGCACCTAGCAACATCATCTTAAGGGATTGTGATTTGAGGCCTCCACATGGCCTTGATTCCTCCTGTCCTGTCACCATTACTTTATTTCTATCCTCCAGCTACCACTGAACTCTCATCTGGTATCCAGCTGTTCTAAGCTAGAGCTATGCTCTGTAATAAAGGTCACAGTAGAGGTACCTATTCTTTTGATTTCTAAATGGAAAAACTCTTAAAATTTCAAGAATAGCAATCCTGTCCAAGAGTAGCAGTGTTTTGCAGTGCGAAGTAGTAATTTTCATTTTTTTAAGTACAACATTTCTCTCATTTCTCACAAGAAGGTAAGTTTTTTCCTTTCCTACCTTACCATCTCTTTTCTCTCAAACCGTCCCCTAGACCACTACAACTATAGTATCCCCAATCCAGCTGAAGAAATAGGAAAATTCTATGAGAAGGCTTTCTAGATGCTTCCATCTCCAGACCAGGATAAATACTCCTTCTAGAGCACTCTAAACTCTCCCTGTCAATGCATCTATTACACTGTACTATAATTAACCGGTTACTTACACCTATCCAGTGAGACTTGGTGGGAGAAAGCCCCAACATTTCATTTACCACTGCATGAGTACTACAGTACTACAGTAACAGACATGTGGGAGATATTTAATAAACATTATGCAGATGGATCAAAAGTATACAATGAATGCAACCACTTTCATAGCTATCATGATGTACATGTGCCTGGTTTGTGGTTGGTTATTAACATTCAATAAACAAGTCAAGCAGTCAAGATGTTTGGTGGGTCAAGGGTACAAAACTCAAGTCACATGAACTTATTTTTGCAGTTGCTCCATTTACTAGTCCTTACTTTCTCCGCAAACTGATTTTCTAGAATTAAGCAAACATGGATTTCATGAAAGCTCCAACAGTCTTTATTAAGCAAATTCAACTTGCAAGGGAAAAAAAGGGAATTTTGGATAATTCTACTCTTTAAAGCAGTCTTTTTTTTTTTTTTTTTTGAGTACTTGCCTTTTTAGTCTCTTAACAGTTATCTTTTTTTTTTAAATTTTATTGTGTTTTAGGTGAAAGTTTACTCCACAAATTAGTTTCTCATTCAGAAATTTGTATAGAAATTGTTTTGTGACATTGGTTGCAATCTTTGCAATGTGTTAGCACTATCCTCCTATCACTTTCCACCGTGGGTTCGCCATGTCCATTTGTCCAGTTTTCCTGTCCCTTAAAATTGCCAATTTTAATGCAACTTTAAAAAAAAATCACTTCACTAACTTATAAATTTCTAAATTCCACCACTTAACTCAGTAAGGCTATCTTAACCCCTATTCTACTTGGAGTAAAAATATGGATTGAGAAAAAGGAAAAAAACAAAAAAAAAGCCTTCTTTCTTAGAAATACATACAAATTATTTATGGATGAATGAGAGGGGAAGACTGGTACGTTCAACAGTAAAAGCATCTGGGTCTATAGCCTTTTGAAGGCGAAGAGGTTTGGTGTTTAATTTATATTCCAATTTCAATATTTATTAATCTATTCAAATTTTTCATTCTTTTGTCAATTTTATATTTTCTACTTCTCCTGGAATAAATCTAATTTGTCCAGGTTTTTAAGTGTATTAGTGTATATTCATATTTTTTAATTGAAATATATATGGTAAAAAGCTACTGGAAACCACAAACTATAAATCTGTAGATGAAATATGACCCATGTATCAATATTTTAGAAAAACAGTTTGAAAAAATATATAGTTATACTCACATCCTCTTTTTAAAACAATTCACATATACTTGCCAATCATCAGAAGCTATCATTCTATAAAGATAATTGGCAAAATTTTTCTGTAAAGAGGCAAATAGTAAAAATTTTAGGCTTTGCCATGTGTGTTACTGTTACATGAGAAACTATCTGTTCTGTAAGCCTTCACCTGAAGTACAATAAAATATTGTAAAAAAAAAAAATTTTAGGCTTTGCAAGACAGTCACCGTTACAACTACTCAACTCTACTGTTGTAGCACAAAAGAAGCCATAGATAAACAAATGAGAGTGACTGCGTTTCAATAAAACATTACTTACAAAAACAGGAGGTGGGCCAGACTTGGCCTGTAGGCCATAATTTGGTAACTCCAGTCCTATAAAAAAACTTAGAAGTCAAACAACTAGGTCTTCTAGTTTCCCTCCACCTCCCAGGGCCTACCATCTTATTACTGAGATAAAAAAATTGTTGGGAGACAGAAAATGGAATCCAAGCTCCCCATTCCCAAGGTTAAACTCATGTGACTTGAAAAATTCAATCACATGGGACCTGAAATGAACTTGTTCTCTCCTTGCCAAGGTTGTTATAGTTGCCATCAAGTCAACTCCGACTCACGGAGACCGCATGTATAACAGAATAAAACGCTGTCCATTCGTGTACCATCTTCATGATGGTTGGTATGTGTGAGTCTGTTGTTGCAGCCATCATGTCAATCCACCTCACCGTGGGTTTCCCTTGCCTTCATTGGCCCTCTACTTTACCAACAGGATGTCCTTCTCCAGTGATCAGTCCCTCCTGATGACATGTCCAAAGTAAGCAAGTCAAAGTCTTAGACAAAATTATGTGATCCATAGGGTTTTCATTGGCTAATTTTCAGAAGTAGATCACCAGGCCTTTCTTCCTAGGCTTGTCTTAGTTTGGAAGCTCTGGTGAAACATCCACCATGGGTTGTTCTGTTATTTAAAATACCAGTGGCATTGCTTCAGCATCACAGCAACATGCAAGCCACCACAGTACGATAAACTGATAGACAGGTAGTGGCCTTGCCAAATGACCCTAGCCAATTTCAATTCAGTTAAAGAGAAGTGCTCCCTGGGTGAGCCATCAAGTACAGCTCATAGACTCTATTAAGGAATCAAAGCAGCTAAAGGCTTTTTCCTACCAAAAGACCTCATACGACAGGTATTATTATCCCCAATATTCAGATGAGGAAACTGAGACTTAGAAAGGGTTAAGTTACTTGCCCAGGGTCTGGTTCCATGGTCAATGCTTATATCTCCATATTATTCTGCCTCCAATATACTGAACTGATAAAGACAAAAATATGGTAAATCAAAATATGTATTTAGCTATGACTCCTAAAAGTCATATCTCAGGTCACTAAAAGAAAACGTCATTTTGTAATTTAATACTGTTTATTTTTACAAAGGTTGTGATTCAATATTTAATCACTGTTTCAAATATATTTTTGAACATTTTTGTACTAAACAGTTACCAATAAAATAATAAATCACCATCACAAAAACAACAAATCCCTTGTCTGAATTTCGTGGTATCTATGCTCCTACCTGACACTGGTTAATAGCTGCATGGTTGCCATGGAATGGAGACTGTCTTTCTTTATCTCGATGATGCCGACTGCTGTGTTTACTTCTCTGCAACTGCTGACGTAGTTTTGCAATCTGAAAAGGGAAAAATTAACAAGTGCCACAGAGTATTTTCCACACTACATAAAAACACATCCTCATTTCATAATAATCAGTAAAACTCAGCCTTAGTAAACCCTTCGAGTCTTAAACCATAGCACAAAATCTTATTTAATGATTAAAAATTTATATTATATATACACACACACCCGTGTGTGTGTATGTATATATATATGTTTGTTTTTAAAGAAAAACAGAATTTTGTTCCAACATTGTTCTGAGCCTTCAAGCTTCCCAAGTACTAAACAAATGAAGCTTTTAGCACTTAGAATAAGTTACATTACAGTTCTCACAAAGAATTAAAAATGATCATTCTTCTCTCACTGCCCTTACAATGAGAATGAACTTTTATTTAGATTTTTTAATTAAACATCTAATCTTCAACAGCTCCCGAAATTAAATAGTATTTAAAAATCAATTCAAACCATGAAATTTACTCACAGATACAACCTTTAAATAATAAATGCAATTTCAATGAATATCCTATATTATTCCTTGACTGGATTTTGGTTTTATTTCTACATTACATGTAAAATATAAATGTCATAATTATAGGCATAGAAAACAGTAATCACTCATAGCACAGAGCCATAACCTACTTGGTTATACTGGGTTACTAAATTACAGAAATACTAACATATATGGAAATATTAAGTGTGAATTTGCTGTTATCGCTACAATTTTATACATCTGATATTTTTACATGTAAATAGGTAAGGACTCGGGTAACAAAAAAAGAAGAAAAACACACAATGTGTACATTTCCCTATTAAAATCTTTATCAAATTTACACAGTAACTGTTTTTCTGTTGCTATTTATCAAGTTAAAAAAAAAAATCAGTGACGACTAGGCAAATCCTCACTGTCCACACTTTCAAGGAACTAGCCAACAAACATTTAATTTCCACACCCACTTCCTTGGAAACATTTTCCTGACCTCCTTAAGTTGATCTGTACTGCCCCAGGATGCTGAACGCTTGTGAGATCCTTTCTTCTTTTCAGCATATTCTTCAGCCCATGCACTTTCTGTCTATAATGGAAAAAAGAGGGAAGGGGTACTTTAATAAAATAATCATTTAACAATAATGTATATCATAGTTTTCTATTATAAAAAACATTCCCATTACAGAAACAGTAACAATAGCACAAATTATTTTACTTCATACAAAGTCCAGTTTTCCATTCCAGATTCCACAATTGGAAACACATCTATAAACTTAATATGTATCTAACGAAGGAGCGGCCAACGTGGTACAGCATCTAGAAATTAGCTCATATGGAATTAGATCTGTTCTATACAGCCTAAGAAGATACCATTAGATTCAAGGATAGAAATTATGGGGAGGCAGACTTCTATGCAACATAAGAACTTTCTTCAGGTGGCAATTTTCTTGGTACATATATTTCAAGAATTTTTGTGGAACTCAGCTCCATAATCTTGTGACATCTTCATTCAAGAACTCTTTCAGGCTTACCCAAGAAAGGCAAAGCTATTGAGAAGCAATCGCAGACTTTACACTGAGGTCACTGGATTTGAGTCTGAAAAAAGATTCTAACATTTTCCTCCTAATATTACACCCTAATCTCAACCAGTAGATGAAGGTTTTATTCAAAATAACAAGTGTAACTAAAAACAGTAATTAAAAAAAAACGCTGATCCATCTCTTTAGCACTTTCATTTCATTTAAGATACAATTTTTGAGTGTTGCTTGTATCTACTAAACATACAAAATAGTTGTGTGGTTTTTTTGCTACAGATTCCAGATTATTCTTCCAATAAAAGGAAACAACCTATCCAATGTCATAAAACAATATGTGTACTGTTTAATGAGAAGCTAGTTTGTTCTGTAAACCTCATCTAAAGTACAATTTTAAAAAAAAATTGATGCTAAAATAAAAGCCATATTGGGAAAAAAAAAAGGAAACAATCTCTAAATAAGTTTACAGACTTATCAACAGCTATCTTAAGTAATTTAGCATTCCAGTTTACCAAATCTTTAATTTGATTAGGTTTTAATCATAGGCCATCTTGCAAAGTTTCTAGACCCAGATCACAATTTCAAGCTAAGTCATAAACTGGAAAAATAAAAACAATTTCATAAAACATTAATCAAAATCAACCTCTGAGGGAAAAAAAATTAGCCTCTGAAATGTACAGGTTCCAAGAGAAAAGAATAATGTAAGATTTTTTTAAAGCAAAAGATGACTGGTTTATGCAAAAAAGGAAAACAAAAGAAATAAGAAAGAAAACAAAACAGCACTCCTATGAGTCACAAATTTAGAACTAAGCCACCTGTAAGGAAAACAGGCCTATAAGGCTAAGGAAGTTGAGAAAAGAATACCCTTTGAATCAGAAGAATCCCAAATAATCCAATCACACATATACTTTTTCTTTCCCTAAACTGATATATGTAATCAGCAAATACAAAAAGCACCCTCTGGATAGAAGGCAGTTTAAATTAAATTAATAGAACTGCTAAAAATTATAATATTTTCGGAGGGCAAACTGGCAAATGGTCAGATTATAATCTTTTAATGAACATCGTTTGGGGAGGGGGCGGGGGGGCGACAGAAGTTGGTGGTAGTGTAGTATTAAGCTGTGTACAAAACTCTAAAGCAGAAACAGCAAATGAATCCTCTAGGCAATTAGTTTTGTAGACCATCCCTGATCCACTGGCAATGGCATGCTGGAACACTGTGTTAGAAGGATTCTCAGGCTATCTGAGCTCACAGGAAATGAGTAAAGTCTGCCAAAGATAACAGAGAAAAAAAAAAAAGAACACATTTTTGCTATCTTTGTGTCAAGTAATTATGCTAATAAGTAATCATATATAGTAAAATCTTAACCATTCATTCATTCTGATGACCAAAGTAAACAGCAGAGCAGCAGGTAGGGTAGGAGGAGACAGTAACATCTTAAAAACTTGTTCCTATATTCCTAACTTTTTTGATGCTGTCTTTCACTTTATTTTCCAGACTCTTCCTCACTAATCCCCATTACCCCCTCTCCCACCAGGAGAGGGAAAGGACGTTAGAGTCTTACATAATTATTTCACAAATGAAAAACCAGGGCTCAGAGACGAAACACGATCAGACTTGTCAAAGTCTACAGAAACTTTCTGAAAGAACTCATCTACAATATAACTGTTTCCACTACACTGTCTGCTGGAGTACTAAGCAATAATGAGATTCTGGACCAGGGGCGGTAACTGCCTAATACAGGTGCCCTAGCCTCTTACCAGAGGCAGAAACAACTAATCAGTCACAGCAATCTGTAGCCTAAATATTTTTCAACATAATTGTCCAGGAAGCCAACAGAAATTGATCAAATTGACAGAGGAGATGAAACGTTATGTATCATCCTTGTTCTAATTTCACAATAATCAGAGGTAATACTTTTAATACCAAACACTCATTGAATGCTTCCTATGTGTCAGACACTGCTCCTTTACACATATTTACTTGTTTAATCCTTATAATAACCTTGTTATTATAATAGGTATTATATTTTCCCCATTTCACAAAGAAGAAACAGAGACAGAGGTGTTGAGAAAGTGCCTGAAGACACACCTCTAGTCTAGTGAGTAGCAGAGCAAGATTTGCTCCATAACCTGAGCTCTTAACCATTATAGCTATATAGTAATAAGCATAGAGGCAAGGAGAAAAGTTAAGAAAGTGGTGGTGGGGAAGGATAGGGGGGTGGTATAACCTCTGTAAAGTTGTTCTCCAAAACAGAAATCATGTGAAGCAAATATCCACAGATAATTCAGAGTTGATATAATAAGGAATTGTAACCTAAACTACAATTATCGCCACAAGAAGTGCAACTTCAACTGTTTAATCAATATCACATTAAAACACATATGACAACTAAAGTAAGACAGCATTAACACTAGAATCCAGGAATGCTGCTAGTCATTAGCAGTGAAGTGTTTACCCAGCTTAGACAGTACATGACAACAGGACCCATAAGGAGATGCCCTGCATGATAATGAATAGACCTTGCACAAATTAAGACTGATTTTATTCTAAAAGATACTCTATAACTCAGGTATATAAAGTCAAAAGCCACTTTCCAAAGGGGAGAGAATTTGTTTCAAATGGAAGTTTTGGGTCTTAATTCTTACTGGTATGTGGATTAGAAAGGATTTAAAAACTTTTCTAAGATTTATATGCAGTATATGAATACACACACACACACACACACACACACACCCCCCAACTCAATTTTTAAAAACAAATTAAGGCGACCATTAATATATGAAAAGATTTTCAACCTCTCTTAAAAAAAAGCAGATAATCCTTCACCCATCAGTTTAATAAAGATTTATCCAATCCTAACATGAAATAGTATAAGGGCATTAATTTGGGCCCCACAAGCCAAATATTCACCACAAGGCTCTGGGTGGGGCCTATCAGAGATGTCTGGCAAAAAAAAAAGTTGACTTAATTAACTAGCATACATAAATTAGGAAAATCCAACATCTTTCAATAAAGAATGTGAGAACTTTTGATTACTCATGTTAGTGCTAAATTCACTTGCCAAAAATGGGGGAACTACAATGTAAATAAAAGAGTAGAGTACCCAGCTACTACTGCATTATTCCTTAGGAAGATTCTGCATGTGAACTTTAAAAGTAAGATTAATAGTATGATAATTATAAATTGTCTTTGGATTTGTACGCTTAAGAGTCCCAATTTGGGAATATTTAGAAGAAGCTGAAAAAAGCATAGGGTTTATACTTTAATTCAGTGTAGTGAGAGCTAGGTCATAGCAAGCTGCTATATCACTGAACTGTTTCTACAGATCAAGGAGCTCCCAGTGGCTTATAAAATTATTTATTCTTACTAATATAACAAAAATATCTAACCCACTGAACCTGAAACTGCAAGGGAAATAAAGATCATTGTAGAAATATTTAAGGAAATACATTCACTCAAATTTTTAAAAAACTTGTGGATTAAGCAGAAAGGCAAGTAGAGACTATACTCATTTTCCATTGCTACTCTCCTGAACTCAGCAAAGTTACAGATTTTGAGCAATTTCAGAGTTCTATGGAAATCTTCAGTTAAAAAAAGTACCAACTTGAGAAAAAAACTCATTACTTTTTATGAGTACAGACTATGCATTTATGATTCTGTAGCCGCCATTAGAGTATAAACCTCAAGGTAATCTCAAATCCCAAACATCTGCCATATGGGCTCACTTTAAAGAGTATCAGAATAGTAAACAAACTAGAACTACCTGATAGGGACTGCAAATCTCTAATACTCGGAATTCTCCAAGAACTGAG